TTTCCACTGCTCATTCATTAGTGCTCTGAGAGGGAATTGTATACATTCTCCCTCCACCCATTCTTTCCACCGCTCAATCTCCACCAACACAGACATGAACCTGTTTGTGGCTCCGAATTCTATATCACCGTCGTCGTCTCCGTCGAAATGACCCTATGTTTCAGCATTGATCATAAAATGATTTTGTAATTAACCCAAAAGACAATCTTGCAAAATCATTTTGTGATCAATGTTGAAACAAGTTCATCGGCCTTTAAATATGTTTAATAGCAATGCATTATTTTTCTTTTCTTTTCTTTTTTTTAAAAAATAAAATACTCGAAATAAGAAAACTTTCAAAATATGAAAAATTTCTGAAAAACACAAAATCTCCACACACACACACTAGTTGTGTGGATTATTTTTGTAGAGAGAGAATATGGAAAAGGCGTGTTTGTAAAGAGAGAATGGAAGACCAGATTTTGACCGTATTGATGTTAATGGATCTGATGGTGGTAGAGAGAATAGGAGGAGGGTGTTGGGTAATGTGTCATGTTGTAATTGGTCTTTGAGATTACAGCGAAACGACGTAATTTTAGTGAAGGGTACAATTGTCATTTGATTTTTCCGATCAACCCCAACCACCTGATTATTTGCAAAATGCCCATAATTGAGGGTTTTTTTTTTTTTTTTTTTTTTTTTTTTTTTTTTTTTTTTTACCTTAAGAAATATTTTAAGATAGAAATTGTTTTACAAAGAAACTCTGTTCCATGTAAGATTATTTTTAAAAAAAATTATATGCAAAATAAACTCTAGAATCTTTCAATGCTGTGATATAGAACTATAGAATATGCATAATAGAAGGTGAGAGATACTTGGACATGTGAGGAGAGAGAGTTGTAGCCTTCAAAGATTTTATTTAACCCAGATCGGGCCAGCATCTGGATGGCATCCAACCATTTTTATAGATTATATATAAGTTTGAATAGATATATTTCAATCTACATCAAATTTCAGACACCATTTTAAAATGACTCTTCCATGTAAAATTATATTGGACAAAAGTTATATGTAAACATAACTCTATAATCTTTCAATAATGTGATATAGAAATAAATATACGTATAAGAAGATCAGAGATACTACTTGCTTACGCGTGGAGAGAGAGTTGTGTCCTTCAAAGAATTCATTTAAGCGAGATGGGGCCAGCATGCGAAACTATATTGTGTCTCTACTATAAATATTTTTGTAATTTAAATAATTAATTTGTTTCCACTTAATATTCATATATTATTGCATATATATATGTGTGTGTGTATAAATTATAGAACAACGTTAATATGCCCTTATCTCTGACTATCTCTTGTCCTGAAATCTACCGCTATAGACTGTGTTATGAAGCTAGAATGCGTTCCAAATGGGGCTTATCTATCGGGTGGCTTTGGCAATTTAGACAAGTAACCAGGTAATCAATCTCACTAAATGTTATTTCATTGTTGTGTGTGTGTGTGTGTATATATATATATCTATATATATATTTAATCTATCTTTCGCTACTTTACTTCCCCAGTAACAGATTCCAACATCGGAATCCTTTCGAGTGTTGGTAGGATCTAATTGATTTTAGTCAGCAACTTACAGATCTAATTGATTTTAGAGTTCAATACTTGAGGAACATGAAGAATCGACCGGGAGGAATTAAGCTAATGGGCAGTAATTCTCTTTATTTTATTTTTCAAGGCAAAAATGTCAGATTAGAAATTAGAGGTGTCAAGATTCGAAGTCGGTTCCAAATGATAACGAGGAGCAACACAGTCACTTGGCTACGAAGACATTGGCAATTAGTAGTAGTTAGGAAATCAAAATTTCTTAATTTTCATATATGGGATAAGTGCAAGAAACACTCCTAAAGTATACATTTCATAGCACTTTTACTTTATATTTAAAAAAGTGTGTAAAAATATTTCTATTCTTTTCAATTTGTGGAAAAATACCCTCAATTAATATAATACCTATTTTACCCTTTTACTCTTCCAAATATGCCCGTACCAAACTTGATGCCAAGTCACAGAGGGAGAGGTGGAGGTTGCTGCCGGAGAGGTATGTGTTCACAAGGTCCTCAAAACCAAAATCTAGCCTACAGAGCCAACCACCAAAAGCTGCAACCCCACATCACCATAGTATGTTGCTGTCGTTCGCCGCACAGGAATCCCGACCACACAGGAATCCCAACCCTCATCGTCGTTGTTGGCCGGTTGAGCCTATGGTTTGCTTGACAGAGACAGAGAGTGACAAGGACTTCCTCGCCGCGCCGATTCGCCAGTTGACTCGATCGTGCCACTCTGCAAGAAACTCAAAAAACCACTTCTCGCCCCCAAAATATCAAGGTATGATGATATAAAATTTGATTTTGCTTGTTTTTGTCATGAATTTCATGAGAATGTGTTCTGATTCGGTGTTTGTGTTAACTCAGAAGTCAGAAGACATGGGTCTTGTTCAGATCGCCTCAATCGACTCTCAATGGATCGGAATTTGGTCTAGCAATGGAAGCCCAAACGGTCCTTCTCAGGTCTCGTCGCCGTCGCCGACACCGTTAAGTCCAAACGACAATGCTTGGAGTCTAATTAATGCAGCGGTTGGACAGGTGGCTAAGTTGAAGATCACCGGCGGCAAAGGACCGCCCAGAAGCAGAGGACTCCTCGGACCCCCTCGCAGTAACAATCTGGTCTATACTTCGTCACCGGTGACAATTGGGTTCGGCTATGAGCTTGTGACACCTTCGTCTTTATCTCCCTCCCCAGCGATGCCTCTGTCTTTATCCCCTTCCCGTCAATGCCTCCATCTTTATCTCCTCCACTCCCCGGCGACGTCGACATCAACCTCTCACTCCCTCCCCGACGATGATTATATATACATATATATATATGTGTATTTGTATATATATAATTTGTGATATATATATATAGATATATATTTATGTCTGTGTATATGCGTATATATATCTTTCATTATATATATATGTATATGTGTATCTTCTCCACTCTTCCCTTCCCTCGGCAACCCCAACAAGATGAAGAAGAAAAAGGGCCAAGCCCTCTTTAGTCATTTCACTAATTTTTTTTTATATATATATTATAAAATGTGTTACTAAGGGCATTTTAGTTCAACTTTTATAAATAGAACTTATTTGCACAAATATCATAGTTTAGGGATATTTTTTTGCACAGAAGGGGTGCAATATGCACTATAAGCTTACTATAAGGGTGTTTTTTGTAATTAACCCATATATATATATATATATATATATATATATATATATATATAATATACAGTGCACCATATGAAAGGAGGACGACGATTGGGTGTAGGCAGAGATGATTAATTACGCCTTTAACCAATATTTTATTATTATTTTATTTTTTTTATCATTGCAAAAGCATAAAGGTCAAGCCATAATCAGCGGTACAGAGGAAAAAGTTAAGCTAAAAAATATGCCTTTAACCCTTTCAAAAGTGTGCATACCTCTGAAAGACTGAAACCATATAAAATTATCTTTTAACCTTTTAACTTGTCAATAACTTCATTTAAATCATAAAATTACAGATTTAACCTCCTGACTAAATTTAATAGACCAAACAAACATCTTCATCTCTTTTATACACATATACATGGTTTATATACAATAATACTTATACCACCGTAACCACCACCACAACATAAAAATAAAAAAGAAAATAGATTTTTTATTGTAAATAACTAGATAACTGTACACCACCATAACCACCACAATATAAAAATAAAAAAATAAAAAAATTAAATAATATTTTTAAAAAATAGGCCGATAAATGTACACCACCATAACTACCCCCGCAACATAAAAATAAAAAATAAAAAAGAAAAAAGAAAATTGCATACCACCACAACATAAAAATAAATAATATATATATATATATATATATATATATATATATATATATATATTGAAATAGTCCGTTACACCACCATAACCACCACCACAGTAAAAAAAATAATAATAAAATAAAATAAAATTTGAAAACTGTCGTGGCCAACCCATATTTGTATATGCCAAATACCACGAGAACCACCACCACACCAAGACAACACCACCAACACACCCAAACTCTACCAGAACCATCAACACAATAGAAAAAATAAAAATAAAAATTTTGAAACACCCTAATAACCTAGACACCACCACAACCACACTACAACCACCACCACCAGAGTAAAAAAAATAAGTAACCCGTAAAAATATAAAAACAACTATAGCCAGCCCAGACCCATCACAAAAAAATAAAAAAAAATAACCATGTCCGAGACTGGTAAGAGAGAGAGAGGGAGTGTGGGCGGCTAGGTACCAAAAATGAAAAATAAATAAATAAAGAGTTAAAGTTAGGGTGGAGGAAAAGGCTTAATGATGAGGATGAGGGTAGTTTTATCAATTAAGATATTTTATAAATTAATTGAATTAAATAATCAAGAACAAATATGACATTTGAAATTATAGAAGATGTCATTGTTAAAAAAATTAATCAACATCTTAGTGACTTTGACCAAAACCTTACCCTCAAGCAAAAAGTCCACGTTCAAACTTCCGAACAAAAAAAAGGTCCACATTCAAAACAAGAAGGATAAATAAGTGTAACCCATTCTTTCTATGCCTTCAAATGCAGCTACATACATGAGCTAGTGACAGCGGAAAATCTGGAACCAGTAAACAAATAATGATAAATAAGTGGAACCCATTCTTTCTCCGTCTTTAAATGCACCTACATCAGCTCAGTAGATCATGGTCTGAGATTACATAATTAATGGTGTTCAATTATAAATGTGTCCAACTTAAATCAGATATCAACTTTAGTCATATATATAACCCATAAAGCAAGCACAGAGCATGCAAGTGGTTCCCATCCTTGACTTTTATACTAGCACGCTTTAGACTTTAGTGCTTTCTACCACTAAAGAAAGCACATGGCCTGCACTGATATATCAAAGCACCAAACTTTAATGCATAGGGATCCTTTGCTGAAGCCTAAAGAAAGCACAAGATCCTTTGCTTATGCCTTCAATTTGGTGTTGATGTGGAAATCCTTTGCTTAGCTTCTCATCATTTTCATCTCTAGCCAACTTAACAGGAACTCATCACTAAGCCTCTCACACATTCAGAAATGGATACAAAGAACTGTTTATGGCTGTCTTGTCTCATCACACTTGCTTCAATTCTGCTCACCTTTCTTGTGTTCATTAAGAAGAAGACCAGGAACACTTCATTAGCACCTTTGAACAATTCTTCATTGTCCACCTCTCCACCTGTAGGATGGGACTATGAAGTGTTCTTGAGCTTCAGAGGTGAAGACACCCGTAAAACCTTCACTGACTTCCTCTACAATGACCTTGTGGACGCAGGAATTCGGACGTTTAGAGACAACAATGATCTTCCCATTGGAGAGAAGATAGGTCCTGAGCTTCTCAAGGCAATAGAACACTCAAAGATATCCATCCCTGTCTTTTCCAAAGACTATGCTTCAAGTAAGTGGTGCTTGATTGAGCTCACCAAGATGGTTGCGTGTAGGAGGACATCGGGGCAAATCATAAAACCCATTTTCTACGACGTGGAACCATCCGACGTGCGAAATCAGAAGGGGAGTTACAAAAAGGCCTTCCGGGAACACAAGAAGCATTTTGATAGTGCTACGGTGGAGGGGTGGAAGGAAGCCTTGAGGGAGGTTGGGGAATTGAAGGGATGGGAAGTGAAGAATGTTGCTGATGGGTAATTCTGCATATTTAGTTATATATACTGATTCTGCAATTTTAACTTTTCCCATTATTTTCCGTATCAGCACCAAATATGAACTTGTTTGGTTCCGTTCTCTCAAATTACACACTAGTCTAACTTAATTTACAAACAACCCTTTTTACAAATTGTTTATCAAATGAATTTTGGAACTACATTCTAATTTTAAGTTTTCTGAGAATAGGCCATATATATTTCATTTTTTTCTATTAAAGATTTTACTGCACTGATTCCTCCATTAAATCTTCAATTTGCTAACATTTTCTCATATATATGTGACATCCAATTGTGTTTGCAGGCATCAAGGAGAACTGGTAAAGAGGGTTGTTTTAGAGGTGTGGGGAGAGCTGAAAAGGAACTCATTGGATGTAAATAAATGCTTAGTTGGAATTGATGATCATGTAGAAGAAATGATGAAATTGTTAAGTGTTAATTCCAGTGATGTAAGGATTGTGGGAATCACTGGCATGGGAGGAATTGGCAAGACCACTATAGCCAAGGTCATCTACAACCAGCTCTCCCAACACTTTGAATCCTGTTGCTTCCTTCCAGATGTAAGAGAAACAGCACAACAACACAATGGTCTTGTTCATTTGCAAAACCAACTTATATCTAACATCTTAAAACGGAGATGCGTTGACATTAGTACTGTGGATGAAGGTATTAACATACTCAAAGTCAGATTTTCTGGGAAGAAAGTTCTTGTTGTCATTGATGATGCGGATCAAAGAATTCATCTTCATGCACTTGTGGAAAAGTGTGATTGGTTTGCTTCAGGAAGTAGGATAATTGTCACAACTAGAAACAAAGAAATTCTAAATCTGCCGGAGGTAGATTGTAGGACTTATGAACCAAAGGAATTGGATTATAATCAATCTCTTCGACTTTTCAGCCGACATGCTTTTAGAAGGGATCATCCTCCACAAGACTATGATACTCTCTCTGTAGATGTTGTGTCCACTACTGGAGGGCTGCCTTTGGCTCTTGAGATTATTGGTTCTTTTTTATCTGGCAAGAGAAAAGATGTATGGGAAGGTACATTAAAGATGTTGAAAGTAATACCGGATGACCAAGTGAAGAAAAAGCTGAGAATAAGTTACGAAGCATTAGATTATGTACAACAGCAGATATTTCTCGATATAGCATGTTTTTTAATTGGAGTGGATAGTAGAATTGCTTTCCATATGTGGGATGCCTGCAATTTTTATCCGGAATTTGGGATTGAAGTTCTTATTCTCATGTCCTTGGTAAAAATTGGAGAAGACAATGAGCTAAGGATGCATGATCAGCTTAGAGACCTTGGTAGAGATATTGTCCGTCAAGAAAATTTTATGGAGCCGGAGGAGCGTAGTAGGGTGTGGTTTCATGAGGAAGCCTATGAAATATTGGAGAGTCATTCGGTAAGATCCAACTCCTTCATAAATAGATGTTCCTTATTAAGCATTAATTTTCTTCTTTAACTTTTTTTTTTTCATTGGCAAGAAACAGACACACCCACTTTGCCCCATTGAAGACTTGAACCCTCACCATCCACTTTGGGAGGTGGAGGAGATACCACTAGACCACAAGACCCTTGATGAATTAACACAATTAACTTTCTTCTTACCTTAACACAATTATGGATGAACTACAAGTAGTGCCGACTCGATCACTAGGCCAATTAGGCGATTGCCTAAGGCCCCTCTGTTAACTACCATCAACTCCAAAAGCTTAAGCTGTTAGAAAGGGTGTAACTTAAATATATAAATCCTTCAACACGCCCCCTCACGTGTGACCTTCTTTTGGTCCAACACATGTTTTTCAATTTTTTAATTAGGTGACGGTGAGGTTTGAAAACGAAACCTTTGACTTTGATACCATGTTGACTTTAAGACATACACATAAGCCCCAGCATTATATAATTAATAACAAATAAGCCCTGACAACACTCCCATTCAAGCTAGTGCAAAGATATCTATCATGCCCAGCTTGACCAACATATTTTGCAAGCAAGTCTTGCTCACACCCTTAGTCAAAACATCAGCAACCTGATCATGTGTACTAACGTATGGAATACAAATCAGCCCAAGACGAAGCTTTTCCTTGATGAAATGTCGATCGACTTCAATGTGCTTTGTTCTATTATGTTGAACTGGATTGTGGGCAATGCTAATAGCAACCTTGTTGTCACAATACAACTTCATTGACTGCGAACAGGATAACCCAACTCACCCCAACATCGTATGTAGCCATAACAACTCACAAAATCCATGTGCCACTGATCTAAACTTAGCCTCTACACTAGATCTAGATACTACAGATTGTTTCTTGCTTCGCCATGAAACAAGATTACCTCCAACAAATGTGCAATATCCTGAAGTAAATCGTCGATCTATCATAGACCCCGCCCAATCAACATCAGTATAGGCTTCAACAGGCAAGTGGCCATGATTGCCAAACAATATCCCCTTACCAGGTGAACCCTTGAGGTAGCGAAGAACATGATGAGCTACCTTAAGGTTAGGTGTACGTACTGACTAATCACACTAACAGCGTAGGCAATAGCCGGGTGCGTGAGAGATAAGTAAATTAGTCTCCCAACCAATCGCTGAAATCTTCCCACATCATCTAATGGGTCTCCATCTACATCATTAAGCTTATGGTTCTGCTCAATGGGAATATCAATCGGTTTAGCTCCAAGCCTGCTTGTTTTAGCCAACAAATCTAACACATACTTCCGTTAAGAAATGAACACCCATTTCTTCGATCTGCACACCTTGATGCTAAGAAAGTATCTTAATGATCCGAGGTCTTTAACCTCAAACTTTGTCCCCAAAAATAACTTCATTCGACTAATTTCTTCTGGATCATTTCCAGTGATAACAATATCATCAACATATACAATAAGGGTAGTGGTGCAGCCTTGGTGCTTCTTGATGAAGAGATTATGATCTGTCTGACTCTATGTGTATCCTACTCTTTTCACAGTAGTGCTGAACCGTTCAAACCAAGCATGTGGTGACTGCTTTAACCCATACAGCTCGGTTATGCAGACGGAACAATATCCCAAGTACCATTCTTCTCATGGGCCTTCATTTCTTCAAGCATAGCTTTCTTCCATGGAGTTTGACTGAGAGCATTTGAAACATTAGAAGGAACAAATACAGAGGAGATACACGAAGTGAAAGCACGGTATGTTGGAGATAAGGCATCATAGGATACAAACTGAGATATGGGATGCTTTGTACAAGTACTAACACCTTTACGATAGGCAATAGGGACATCAAGATCAACAGGAATGCTATTGGGAAAAGAATCAGGAATATCAATGTCAACTAAGGAATTACCTGGTTCGAGGGAGACTTCTTGGTCCTGGGGTGACTCAATAACTTGTTTTGCCCTCCTAATGTAGACAATTGGCTGTTTCCCTGCTGCAAATCATTAGTGTATGGAGGACTAGACGTAGGCACCTCAATAAGAAGCTTCCCCTGAATGGGAACAAGCAAAGGAAGGGGGCATTCCCTCTAAATGGACAACGGATTCTTTACCTATATAGTAGTCTCCCCCTGTAGAGAATCCCGAGCAGTAAAAAAAAAAAAAAAAAAAAAAGGAACAGACTCAAAAAATGTAACATCCATGGAGACAAAGCGACGAAGAGTGGCAGGGTTACAACACCGATACCCTTTTTGAGTGGCGGAGTATCCAAGAAAGACACATCAGATTGCCTTAGGGTCCATTTTGTCCTTGCAATGGTGAATGTGAACATAACAGACACAACCAAACACTTTCGGAGGGACAGTAAACAAGGCAGTGTCATGGTGTAAGATAGAGAAGGGGGATTGATAGCCAATAACCTTAGAAGGCATACGATTGATAAGGTATGTAGCTATTAAGGTTGCATCAACCCAATAACTTTTAGGCACTCCCATCCTAATTAGAAGAGAACGGGTCATCTCCGTAATATGATGGTCTTTTCTTTCAGCTACACCGTTCTGTTATGGTGTTTCTACACAAAAGGTTTGATGGACAATCCCGCTATCAGCAAAAAAGGAGGCAAGACCACCATACATAAACTCTCCTCCATTATCAGATCGAAGGATTTTGACGGGACAACCAAACTGAGTACATACCATCCTATAAAAGGTTTTAAAAATTGAATGAACTTTATCTTTGGTTTTCATAAAATAAAACCAAGTATATCGACTAAAGTCATCAACAAACACAACAAAGTAACAAAAACCAAGTAACGAAGTAGTAGATTCAAGACCCCACACATCAAAATGAACAAGCTACAAAAGAGCTGTATTTTTATTAATACTAGTAGGATAAGAAACACGACATCGTTTGGCAAGAACGCATGTTTCACAATTTAACTCGAGATTCAACAGAAGCAAACTAGGGAAGCACATGCTTCAAAACAGGAAGAGGTAAATGACCTAATTTATTATGCCATCGCATTAACAGATCTTTATTGACATTACTGTTCCTAACACTAGATTGATTTTCAATATAATAAGAAGTTGGCCTCGCGTTCAGCAAATACAAGCCATTGTCCTCACGTCCACTTCCAATCGTCTTCCCCGTGTCCAAGTCCTGAAACACACAGTGAGATGGAAAAAAGGTTACACTACAATTCAAACATTTTGTAATGTGACTGACAGATATGAGGTTATTGGTAAACTTTGGGACATGAAGAACAGAGGATAAGGTAAGATTAGGAGAGATAAAAACAGTGCCCTTCCTCGCAATGGAGGTAAAGGTGCCATTAGCCACTCTAACCTTATCCTTACCATAATATGAACTGTACGAAGAAAAATTAGATGCCATACCAGTCATGTGATAAGTGGCTCCTGAATCAATGATCCAAGGTGGTCCACTAGATAATGTGAAAACCTGATGTGCCGAATGAGAGGCACTTGTCTGAGTGAAGTTAGAGGTGGAAACGAATGAATGTTGTGCTAGTAGATATCAGAGAGCATCAAGTTTAGCCCCGGACAAAGAACTCGGTGGCCCTGAGGAGGAATAACCAGTTCATGCTTTGTACTATGTGCCGTAGATAACCCCCTAAATGGACTAGGCCTTGGCCTAGCATTCTCATTAGCAGGAGCTGGAGTAGGGCGACCGTGTAGACTCCAGCATGTTTCCCTAGTGTGGCGCGTACGCCAACAGTGATCACACCTCAACTTGCTTTTGTCATCTTGTTTCCCTCCTTTTGAAGGATTGGGCTTGTTCCATTGTTGTGTAGCAAGAGCAGACCTCTTAGACAATGGTACTTCTGGCTCAAGCTTAGTGTATACAGGTGCAGACATAGCCTTCATTCTACTCTCCTCAGCTTACGACCCCCAGCCAACTTACCGCGGAGTTGGATCCATGGTACGTGTGGATGTGATTAACACTACTTCCTTGCAAACAAATCCCATCTTGGAATCTCTTCAAAACCTTTCACACCCACTAGGGTTTACACAAACTTGCCCTAAGGTCTCAACTACAAACATAGAGCTTTACAAACCATGCTTTGATACCATGTTAACTACCATCTACTCTAAAAGCTTAAGTTGTTAGAGAGGATGTAACTTAAATATATAAATCCTTCAACACCCTCAACCGAAAATTTAATTATAGTCTTTTTAAGTAAGCCCCACCATAGATTTTTTCATCAGTTTGTATACTTTGTCTAGCAATTGCTCCTTCTCTCACGCATTTTTCTATTTCCCTACGCTATCAAATTTCTTCTCATGTTTTTGATGTGATTGAAAACTTTCAATAACACTTGAATTCAAGTAAGGTTTTCTACTAATTTGCATAAAGCCGGTTCTATTGTTCTTTAATTCGGGTTTTTTTTTTTTTTATGGATTAGTCTAACTATAGTTTATTTATAAATATGTTTACTTAAAAATGTGAATTTGGATTAGTAAATTTTTTTAAATATAAAAAGAAAGGGTTGGGTAAATTAATTACATTTAAGAAAGAAAAAAAAATAAGGAGCCTTTGTTATGATAAACAAAATATTACAACTTAATTTAGATGAAAGTTCAATAGATAAATAACCAAGTTTTCTAACAAAATTAATAATACTGTATCTCAAGAAGCAAGAATAATGGTTTATAAATAATATTTTATAATATAAATAGTTAATTATTATATTCTATTGTATTGCCTTAGGCGAGCTGCCATGCAAAAGTTGAAATAATAATTGGAATTTCCTGAAAGACAGTAAATATCATCATTACTACTAGTTTTTGTGTCCACCATAATTATAGTGTTAATATATTTTTTAATTATCCCAATGTTCTGTTTTGGCAGGGAACAAGAAAGATTGAAGCTGTTTGTGTTGACTTTCGATCAGAGTCACTGGCATGCTGTTTAACAAATGAAGCATTTGGAGGCCTATCTAATCTAAGGTTCCTTCAAATGGACTATGCAAACCAGCTAAATGGAGATTTTAAGGGTCTTCTTTCAAAGTTAAGATGGCTTCACTGGAATGGATGCCCTGAAATTTTTAGACCAAACAATTTTCATCTAAAGAATCTGGTCATTCTTGATTTATCATGGAGCAAGATCACAGAAGCCTGGGAGGGTTGGGATCATATCAAGGTTTCATCAATTTCTCCGCTTTTGTTTCGTGTGTCTCATCACATAATTCTTTGTAATTGATTCTAGGCAATTCTCTTTTTCCTTTTTTCGCAGATTGCAAGAAAGTTGAAAGTTCTAAATCTCACGGGTTGCAGATACATGGTTAGAACTCCTGACTTCTCCGCATATGCAACTTTAGAAAGATTGATTCTTGAAGAATGTGAGAGTTTGGTTCATATTGACCCATCAATTGGGTATCTCAAGAGCCTAGTTTTCTTAAATGTAAGGAAATGTTTTAAACTCAACAGGTTGCCTCTGGAATTTGGCTCTCTGGAAGCTTTAAAGGAGCTCCTCATTGATAATACTCCTATACAAGAAGTCCCTATTGGTAGAGGTGATATGAAGAAGCTTGAAACTATTAGTGCCACTTTTTGTGGTTCATTGACTCAAATTCCTACCTCAATTGGTCATCTAAAATCTCTGTCGGACCTTGCATTTGATTTTACAAATATCACTGAACTACCTGACTCAATTGGTTCGCTAGTGAAATTGCGACGCTTGTCGCTAGTGAAATGCAGATTAAAAGAACTTCCAGACTCCATTGGGAAATTAGAATCATTAATTGAGTTGCGTTTTTCAGGAGCAAAATTTACAGAATTACCTGATACCATTGGCAACCTAAAATGTTTGAGAATTCTTAATATTCATCAGTCTTTCATAGTGAAGCTACCTAGTTCCATCGGAATGTTATTGAAATTAGAAGAGTTAGATGCCTCGTATTGTTTCCGTTTAGAAGGCGATATTCCCAGTTATATTGAGAAACTATCCTCTCTGAGAATCTTAAGACTTAGTTGGACAAATATCTGTAGCCTACCAACAAGCATTTGTAAGATTTCTCACCTCCAAACCCTTGGATTACAGGGTTGCGAAAAGCTTCAGTTTCTGCCAGAGCTTCCCTCTAGTTTAGTGAGTCTAAAAGTCACTTGCATGTCAAAGGAATTTCTAAACCTTTCTAGCCTGGTGAACCTAAAGGAGTTGGAAATTTTTAACTGCTCTAAGCTGTTGAAAATTCCTGAAGATATTGGGAAGTTAGCCAAACTGGAGACCTTGACTTTGTCATATATTGACATTAGCAGCCTGCCAATGGAGCTTGGTGCCCTTTCTCGGCTTACAGAACTCACTGTTCGAAATTGTGAACAACTTGAATGCCTTCCAACTCTTCCCTCAAGTCTAATCATACTGTGTCTTCAATATTGTGAGTCAATGAAGAGGTTTTCAGATATGTCAAATTTGAAGAACTTATCAGAACTAAAACTTTACCAATGTTCAGAGTTAACAGAGATTCAAGGTCTTGGAGGATTAGAACTCCTAATAGATTTGAATGTATGTGAGTGCAAATCACTAGAAACATTACCCAATCTTTCAAACTTGGAAATGCTGAAAGAATTACAGCTCACGAAGTGCCAGAAGCTACATGAAATTGAGGGTCTTGAGGCTTTGAAATCATTGAGGAAGCTGGACTTGTCATATTGCACAGCCTTGGAGAGGATACCTGATCTGTCGAGACTTGCAAATTTAAAGGAATTGAGACTTTTTTACTGTGAGAAACTTAGTGAGATTTGGGGACTCGAAGAACTGAAACTCTTAACATTGCTGGACTTGTCATCGTGCACAGCCTTGGAGAGGATATCTGATCTTTCGAGACTAGCATATTTAGAGGTATTGGCACTTTGTAAGTGTGAGAAACTTACTGAGATCTGGGGAATTGAAGAACTGAAATCCTTAAGATTGTTGGACTTGTCATGGTGCACGGCTTTGGAGAGGATACCTGATCTGTCAAGACTAACAAATTTAGAGGAATTGCGACTCCGTGAGTGTGAGAAACTTAGTGAGATTTGGGGACTTGATGAACTGAAACTCTTAAAATTGCTGGACTTGGCATCGTGCACGGCCTTGGAGAGGATATCTGATCTATCGAGACTAACAAATATAAAGAAATTGCGACTTCGTAACTGTGAGAAACTTAGTGAGATTCGGGGACTTGAAGAGCTGAAATTCTTAGAATTTTTGGACATTTCTGGATGCAAGTCAGTAGGAAAATTACCGGACATTCCGAACTTCCATTTGCTCGAGTGTGGACAGCCAGATTATGATGGTGGGTTATGATGGGTTTTTTTTTTTTTCCAGGTAATTGTTGAAACATCCATGCATGTCAATTATTGAACCATATTGAACACTAGTATTGTTGCAGTTGGATCTAACGTTGTTTTGGTGTTTATCCCTATATTATATGATTGATTAGGAACATGGTAGTCTATGCTATGGATGTTAGAACAGTTTGGTTTCAGTACTTGCAGGGAGTTAACAACAATCATAGATGTTGTTCTCATCACATGCACATTCTTGAGTATTTTTCATGTTCTCATCGAAATAAGATTTTATTAACTAGCTAAAAGAGGAAGGCTCATGTATTCATGACTATCCTATCTAAAGATATTATATAGTAAAGATTAGTAACCACATAGTTAACCTCCCTGCAACCACGTTTTTTTCACATTGACCAAGAAAAATTTCTACAGGCCCAAAAGTAAAGTTGAGAGTCTTATATTATTCCACTGCAATTCACTTCATAATGATTAAATTTCTGCTGAAACTCCTTTTGGCTACAAATCATTCCCAGAACCATGTCTTCTCAGAGTTAGATGCATCCTATCTGCATATTTAGTGGAAATATTTTATCAATATTTTTCCGATCTTTAAAAGGGGAGACGAAAAAAGCACTACTCTTTTGTTTTTTCACAGCTTCATATGGATGATTTGTTCTTTTACCCTTTTCCTAAAATGTGTTCTCTTTCTAATAGGTTCTTCTATTACATTAACTGTTGTTAGTATTACTGTATTGAAAAAAAAAAAAAAAAAAAAAAAAAAAAAAAAAGGAAGAAGAACAAGAACAAGAAAAGAAAATAAACCATATTAAAATCTGAATAGGAAGTTTAGGAATTGATGGTTTCATAGGTCTTTCCCTATTAATTTCTCTATATATTGTGGGTTATGCTTAGAAGAATTAAAGCAATCAAATTCTTTTTTGGAGGATGCGACTAGAACTGAGACAAAATCTTGCTTCGATGGGTTACAGATATCTCTTCTTATCGTTTTAAGAAAGGGAGGAGGCTCTGTTTATATCAGTTTTAATAGTAGACTGCTGTTAATATAGAGAATATTTGGGAGTGGACTGTTATTAGGACTGGTTGTATCATATTTCTTGCTTAAATGGGCTGGGAGTAGGACTTTTGATTGGCTTTAAAACATATTTTTACACACTCTATTATTTTTATTATAATTATTTTTAACTAAGTAATGAATAAATTGATCATGTCATGATCCAAACTACATTCTGGCAATAAAAACATATATATATCCAAAATACATTCTAAGAATGGACGTTATAAAATTAGTCGGAGATGAGGGCAGGGTATGGTCTTAATTTAGTCTGTCAGAACCCTATCGCTTTTTTCTAAACTGACAGCTCTAAAAAATAAGTTAAATGTAGATTATCAACTCATCATACGATTTTCCACTAACTAATGTCAATTTGATTGTAGCAGATTGTGCAGAGGATTGTGAAGGATATTACTTGTGAGAAGAGAGGAGAAATCTGCAAAAGGGAATGGGAAGACGTGCAAAAGCAGGCTTGGTGGAGGATGGTGGAAGGCCACCCAGGGGACAAGCCAATACCAGTCTAACTCAAGCAGGGTTATATGAAGATTCTTAAATTTCAGAGCTACAAAAGTAGTAACGCAGTTTGTAATAAAGGCACCAAGAGTGACTAGATTATGCATGAATTCAGACTTGACTCTGATCAAGTAAGTCATACTTTATGTTTTCTCACATTTTCGATTTGTACTTTTGATAGTGAGAATTTTGTGTGTACTGCTTTACCATTTTAACTAGTGTGGAAGAAATCGCTGTTTTCTAATTTTGTTTTTGCGCAAATAAATATAGATATGTCTGAATGAAAATGTTCCTGCTACTCCCACAAATAGGAATCTTCAGATCTCTTGGAGTATACCCGATTCTATTTTCTGGCTTCTGCTGATGTTTTGTGTGAGCTGGTGGATTTGTTTGATGTTGCATGATTGCTATTCGGCTTGGTTGCTCTTTGGATTGTGCTGATTTGCTTTGCTTACTTTTTGAATTGTGTTGCTGCTTATTGATATGGAGAATGATTTGCTTTGTTAGGTTTAGTTCAGCTTGTTTCCTTTTTGATCTTATAGTTTGTATTTCTTGATGTATCTTCTGTACAGCTACTTGGTGGTCTTCTTGTTTGGCTGGCTAGAATGCTAGCCTTCTCTTAGTAAATTTTTACCTTTTAATGCACTTAGTATGAAGATAGATTTTGTACCTGCATTTTAATGCACCTAGTATGAAGGGGTCACCACAAAAATTCTTGTATGACTTTTTCATATATAAAGTAACATACTTTGTGGCAGTGGAACTTATAAATTAAAATGGCTCCATATTCTACCTTCGGACCATAATCGTTTCTCAAAGTGGTCTAACTTGGTGGTGCTGTATGGATGGCTGACATGTAGGGTTAGACTGTGGATGATGCACCAAGAGTTATTGGTTGAGACAGCCAATCTCTTTCTATCATTTTTTATTTTTTATTTTAAAATTTTCGGTGTTGATTTGCTCATTTTATAATCTTGGATTATGAGTTTTATATCGATAATAATATATATAGGATTAAATGCAGAAAACACCCTGTATTAGTCATATTGTCCATATAACACCCCTCTTATACTAATTTGGTCTATAACTCCAATACATTTGGTCAATTGTTGAATCTCACTACCTTCAGTTACAAAGTCATCAGAGAATAGCCGTTAAAGTTGTCAGGTGAGGTCGAAAGTGCCCCTTCCTGTTCTGAAAACGCCCTTAGCCATCACTTTCAGTCGGCTCCAAGAAAACATTTAGCTATATTAAGATGAGCTGGTATGGTTACAACTCGCTAGCTCATAGTCATTTGTCTGTCAGTTTGTCACTTCTAAATTGTAAATAGTAAAGAGCAAACAAGCAGCTGTGATTTACATTAGTTTGTTGCTTCTAATTGTAAATGGTAATCTGGAGATTCAGTTGTTTTGCAAATAATAAAATGTAGTTATGAAAGTTGACCTCCTCTAGATTATATGTGGTGATGCACTGTCGAGTCTGTTTACGTTATTTGCTTCATTGTTGCTCTGCATATGCATCTACTCAATATATTCCGCCGTTGCTTTTTCTCTACCTAGCTATACCACTATTTCTCATATATATAATTGCTGCTATTAGATTCCCAAATCTACTTTTGCTAACTGCTTTGGAGGGTTATTGATGATTGCTACCCTGCTGTTATAATTTTTGTTATTGTATTAAGAATTGCTGCTTTTTGTGGATGATTGTGGCTGCAGATCCTAACAAGACCTGTATCAAGGAGTTTGTAGTCCATTTCATAGCTATAGATAGTGCTTTCTATTACTTCTCTTTTACAAGGTATTTTCTTGTTAGAGCTCCTAAACTTTTGTCTATCCATTGTATTTCCTTGTTTGTGTTTGTTTCTCTGTTTCAAGATTGGTTGTATGGGGAGGTGTGCCTTCCCGTTTTAGCTTTGTGCTATTTGTTGTGTTGAATGAAGTCCACTTGCCCTTTATTTGCTGACTATGACATCTTCAGGTAAAGTTGGAAAATTTCAATCATGATGCTATTCTTCATTTGTTCCTTCCTCTGTGGCTCCAATAATAGAGCTGTAATTTCTCAAACTTTTAACACAAACACTTGGCATTTCTCTACGTAGTGGTGTCTGCAACCTTTATCAGTAACTTCCATTTGAAAGATGTAACATGTATGGCATTCATCATACAAATAACTTCATATTCAAGATGCATTTTGATAACTTATGTAGGAAATAGAGAGTCCAGTTTTCCGTTACGCCGAAGTTAAAAGTTTCTAAAAGACACATAACTTCTACAGTAATAATAACATATTAATGGAAAGCTCTTGGAGTGTACTAAAACGGAGTCTAGACTAAAGTAGGTTGGATATCTTTTTATAACTCATATATATCTATATTTTCAGTTTGGTTTTCTTAGGTTCTGATTATGCACAATATGCAGATACTTTGTTCAAAATGTTATTGAATTATAAAATGTGGCCAAGTCCAGCATTTGGGCTGGCTTTCTCATTGGAGCTTAAGATAAGAATTGGTGATCGTGAGTCAAGTCAGGTCCCATGGATGGAGATAGTGGTTCGGAGATCAGAACCATCAATCTCAGCCATCGCCAGTTCACGGTGGATCTGATAGGTCAGATTCTTCTGCTCCCTTGCTGCATCAGCTACGATTTATCTTCCTCTGTTTCTCACTACTTCAAACCCAAACCAACTGGTAATTTCTTTCTTAAATTTACCTCATTTCTCTCTCTACTCTCTCTATATGTCTATATATGTATATAAGATATTAAACTCATACTTATATAAATATATATATATATATATATATTGTAATTTTATATGTAGGGATTGCGTTTGAGAGTCTGAGTGTGGAGGAAGCTTATTTCAGAGTGTGAAGGAAGGAAGTTACAAATTACAATATATATTGTAATTTTATATGTAGGGATTGAGTTTGAGAGTCTGAGTGTGGAGGAAGCTTATTTCAGAGGAAGGAAGGAAGTTACAAGGAACAACCTTTTCCCTCCCCAGGTATATTCTGGTAATTAATGCTATTCCTTCCTTTGTTTCCGTATTTTCTACATGTGTGTTTGTGTTGAAAAATCATACTACTTCCCCTATAAGGCTCTATGCTGTTAAATGCCTGCTATAAAATATAATTACTTCATATTATTAAAATCCTGCTGCAAAATTTTATAATACCATAACCTGATTAAACACATGATGATACAATTATACATATTGAACCACAGTAGATTAGAGCGAAAAATTAGTTTTGCTAAATTTCCACAAAAAAAACTGCTATATATAAGCACAAGAATCCTGGAGTAGCTTTTGATCAGCCTAATAAGTTTAAGCAACCCAAGAATTTAGCCCCGGAAATTGAGACACTTTACAAAACCCAACCAACAGTTAGCAAAGTGTAATTTGAATGCATTAGAGCTACAAAGCGAAAAACAAGTGCCCAATCACAAAGGTG